CAGAGAAAAAAAGAAAGAGAGGTAGAGAGAGAGCGAGAGAGAGAGAGAGAGAGAGAGGGGGGGGGAGAGAAAATAGCACCATGCATACTAGTGGATTACAAAACAAGGTATATTCTTATTAAAAAGCGTTTATTCTATCGCATAAAATGTTACTATAGTATTTACAGTTATAGATTCAGTAAAAACGCACGCAAGACGTCAGTGACCGCACTCGTTTAATTCGACCAGTGCCCATCCCGTTGACTGCGGCATTTTAACTATAAAAGAAATACGAACAAAAAGAGCTTTAACCCCCAGTGGCGAATCCAGAAGTGAATTCTAGGGGGGGGGGCGAATCATGCGAGCTCAAGAGCACCTTGCCTTGAAAATTCTAGGGTGCGACCCCCCTCCCCCTGGATCCGCCACTGGTCCCCTGACATGCTTATTCGACAATTTCGTTCGGATTCGTTCGCGACACACACCGTCATAAAATAACGTTGTGTGCACACGCGACGTAACTTCATGTACCATGGTCGTACATGTATCATTGCATCAGAACATTTCCAACGTTGTCATGATATATGCAACTTTTCCAACATATGAACACGCTAAAGCAGGTACGCAATTATACGATTGACAGTATTTGAACGTTTAGACTCTGCATATAGGAGCCCATTCGAACCACGAAATAAATACAGGAAACGTCAAACGCTACACAGATCCCAACTCAAACACCACACACCCTTCATGCACTTCATTACGCAAAGCCGTGGACACGGAGGTTACATCATAGACGAGCAATATTACTATTATAATTAATATCGTTATAGTAGATAGTATATAGAGCGAGAGCCAAGCCGATGTTAGTGCACGTCTATGTCGCACTCTGGCTGCGGGGGACGCGCTCGGTGCCACTGCACCGTGCGAAACCTCTTCATCTTTTGCTTCCAGGCAACCGTGTATATAGCCTAGCGTCGTTATGAGAAAGTCGTGCCGAGGTATAGAGACGTAGTAATTAATTATTCAATCCCGGTTGCCATGCAGCACACCCGACAGTCTCGCATATATACTAATAGTTCGCGTGCAAGTATCGCGGAAATTCACACAGAAAGGTTAGCGAATTCTATTGTTTTAATAAATGATTTCGCAGCGCGATCGTAATTGGTGGCACGCCAAGGTCAAATGACCGGGACGCCATGTTACATAATAGCGCCGATTGTTTTGTCGTTCGGGTGTCATTCTATTCGTGCAGGATTTGTCGTGTTGATTTCACGTGAAATACCTCGTTTACGTCGCACGCGGGACTGACGAAGACGTCTACACGCCCACGGTGAGAATTTAATACCATTTCTTAATACGAGTTCAAGGTGCGGCACCTGTAATGTTGTTATACTAAGTAACTATATTTACACAGGAGGGGGTTATATTTCAAACGGTTACGTTCGAATATCGCAAAAACAAAGCTAGTACAAAAATATTATAGTTGGATACATTTTTTTAGATCACGTAACTATGTTTGTCGCAAGCCTGTTGGCTTAAGCCAGGTGTGCGTCATGAAAGTGTCACGTACATTGGCAACAGAACCGCATAGCCATAAGCCTCGTTCACACGAGACCTCGTATTTATGAAATACGAACCTCGTTCACACGAGACCTCGTATTTATGAAATACGGTATTTGCGAAATACCGAATCTGAGACAAATACGCGGCCGAGCGTTCACACGCTGATTCGCGGCTCCAGAAATACGGTATTTGCGAAATACCGAATCTGAGACAAATACGCGGCCGAGCGTTCACACGCTGATTCGCGGCTCCAGAAATACGGTATTTGCAAGCTGCTTTAAACAATCAAGCGAACAATGCGAAATAAACAATGCAATGCGCACCAACTGCCGATAAAATACGTAGACTGGTCCGCGCTCGACAGTTCCACTCGCGTTACACTGGAACTGTCGAGCGCGGACCAGTCTATAAAATACGCGGCTTCAGAAATCCGGTATTTAGCGTTCACACGAGGAAATGCGCGGTCCAAGAGATCCGGTATTTCCCAAGCACGGCAAATTATTCGGGGTCTGGGAAGCCGCGTATTTACATCAAATACCGGATCTGTTTAGATACCGTATTTCTTGGACCGCGCATTTTGCCTCGTGTGAACGCTAAATACCGTATTTCTTGCCACGTGTGAACGCGGCTATTGTTTACAAGTACGTGACAGCGACAAGGTTGAGGGTGATCTTGTAAGTAAATTATTAACTGGCGCGTATCAAGTGCTTGTTTTCTAACGACTGCGTTGATTAAGGCCGATCTACTCGTAAATTAAACATCATTTGCGAGCATTGGCAAACGCGACACTCGCATAGGAGCGCTAAAATAATACAGCCATACAGTATGTGATCGGGTTTCGCTTGAAAATTCGCGCTGCAGTTAGCGGCTAGTGTTACCAATACGACTACAAATAGATACGGATTCAGTTTACCATTTTAACTCGAGTGGACAAAACATATAGCAAGAGCGATGATAGTCTGGTGACAACGTACATGCGATAGAAATTTAAAAAAATAAACAAACAAACAAAGAAACAATCGTAGTTATATCAATATTACTGACGTGTCTCGCGAAATGTACATGATATTACTATACGTATCAGAGCACAGATATCCACGTACGTCTGAATGAGTAGCGTGGAATCCAGATTGGAACCTGATCATTCCATGCTGGAATCTACTCAACGCACGTTATAATCTGTCTACTACATGTCGGAATATGTTCATTCCGCATTGGAATCTGGTTCATGTAGGAATGAATCTGTGTGGGTAATGTATGAGTCGGAGGGAGCGGTCACAAGTGCTGGTAGTCATGCTGCGAGGTGTAACTCAGTGCTGCTGACGGCGGCGGCATTCCGTACTGTCTGTATGTGGACATCATATCCAGATAGCGTGACGACGACGACGACGATGTTGATCCCGGTAGTAACCAGCCATCCCCGGGGAATCCCGCCGACGTCGACTCTATTTTGTGGCCGGGGAAGCTCTGGTAGGCACTGTAAGGGGCCTGCATCAGCATGTACTCGGTCTGCGTGTACGCGGGGGGAGCGTAGCGCACCGGCTGGCGGTCAGCGCTGACCTGCTGCACGCTCACGGACGGCCCGTACAGCGGACTCGAAGCCGGACTCACCGGATCCGTCGGCATGCGGCCGACGACGGCCGAATCTGGATCCGAATTGTAGCCGCTCGTTCCGCTCGTTCCGCTCGTGCTGACCGGACTGATGGTGTGCGTGTCCGGTTGCGCGGCGGTCATCTCATGCCATCCGTATTCCGTCTTGGTCGTCGTCGCCGCCGCCGCCGCGTACTGGTGAGCAGAGATTCGCTGCTGCATGCCGGCGTGCGCTAGCCCGCCACCCTCCGCCACGACGATGTTAGGCGGCGCTGCTTCACACTGCCGACTCGCCTGCGTCGCGGCGTGACGCGGGGTTGCCGTCTGCGTTGCACCTTTCTCTTTCTTGAAGCGCTTGCGTCGGCGCAGAAAACTCCCGTTGTCGAACATGTCCTCGCAGTTGGGATCGAGCGTCCAGTAGCATCCCTTTCCGGGTCTGCTTCCCTGCTCTCGCTCCAGCTTCACGAAGCAGTCGTTGAGGGTCAGGTTGTGCCGGACAGAGTTCTGCCACTTGATGGTCGTCGTCTGATAGAACGGAAAGCGCGTCATCACGTATTTGTAGATGTCGTCGACGGTGATGCGTCGCTCCGGAGCATTTGCTATCGCCATGGAGATCAACGCGATGTAACTATATGGCGGTTTCCCGCGATGCACGGGTCGCTTTCGCTCCCGGTTGCGGATCCGAGATTTCGGTTTCGGATTAACGGACGGAGCAGGTTGGTCGGCGAATTCGGAGAAGCCCTCGTCGGATCCGGCGGGGGAGGTGATGCGCGGCGACTCTGCAGCTTCTACGTGTAGCATGCTCCCGTCGTAGGGGTTCATCTCCGCGTAGCTTCTCTTGGCCGGGATGCTGATGGCTTCCGTGTACCCGCTTCCTTGCTCTTGCACGTACACGATGTCTTGATAAGGGAAGATATAAGAAGTCGTTATATATACTCTCTGTGAGCATAAGAAATACGGTGATGATGGAAGAATGTTATAGTTATTCATTGATTTGATGACGACACGTTGGGCGAGTGAGAACATATGAGCTTACAATCTCTTCACCGTCAGTAAGAGAGAGGGCGAGGGAGGGGGAGGGGGAGAGTGGTAAAGAATTAAGAGAGTACGTGGTAGAGAAAGAGAGAAGGGGGTGAGACAGTACGAGATCGAAAGAGCTAGGGAGAGAGGCGAGGAGAAAGGGGAGAGAAAACGCTGGAGAAAAACGGAAAATGAGAAAACGGTCATTTTTAATGACGGTACAGTAAAAGTAAGAACAGCTAAACTACGTAATCAGTCTGACATCCATGTGTAACTCTAATGGCAATGATAAACAAACAGCGAGACAGACGCATGCGCCGTAAATTTGACCGGCATATCTTTAGATTTAATTCGAATACAGAGCAGCAAATCGACGATATTATGGCTTACCTGTTTGTTCGATGTCCATCGTTGGCGTTGTCATCGCAATCACGGGTCGCTGTATAGCCTCTCTCTGTATTCTACCTTCTATATATGCCTATTTTATATATTCGTTGCTGCAACTCTTATAGGGTCCGACGTTCTAACAAGACTTGAGTGCAACTGTTTGCTTCCCGCCACTCTCACACGCCTCTCTCGCTTTGCGTGCGAGTGCGTGTGTGTAACTGCACTGTAGGAAAGCAACACGTGTGTGCGCGAGTGAGTGCGAGAGTAACAGTACACGTTCGCGTCCAGATGTTAGCCCCAGCTCGCTCGCTCTGCATCTGACCACCAGCCCAGTTGTAACGCGATCAGCTGCTGCTACAGCTCTCTCGCTCCGGCTTCCCAGGGTTTTCCCGCGCGCTTTGTGACGATACGTACACGTACGTGTTACGCCTCGATGACCGAGCAATCGTGTACTGCCGGTACAAACACACACACACACAGCGGCTGACCATTTCCCCCTCCTCCCCCTATCAAGCATCGCGGATACCGGGAATGCATGGGTCGTCGCAGATACCACGGGATTAGTACCAGTTGTGTGGCATATAGAGAGAACGAGTGAGAGACCCGGTCGCATCAGAGCCGGCATCCAGCAGCGCTTTGTAACTGAGCACCCAGAGAGGGTGACCGCCACGACGCGCCCATCGGCCGTCGATTCGCGGCTCGTTGCGCGACACAATGATGCGATAACGTCGTCTAATCGGACGCTGAGGAGAGACAAAGGTGCGGGGGATGCTGCGCGGTTGCTGGGTTGCGCAGCGGGTCGCGGACATCTGTGTGCGTATGTATGTGTGTGTGTGTGTGGCTCGGGGGTGATTGTCGGAGGGAAAGCTGTTCGTTGTTAGGGGAACCTGTCAACTCGCGCGCGGATCGTGGGAAAAGAGTCGGAGCTAGAACGCCCCGCGAGTGCTCCCAGAACGCTGCGTGCGTGCGTGCCTGCGGGCGTGCGTGCCTGCGTGCGTGTCGCTCTTCTTTTTTTCCTCCGCTCTCTCTCTTCTCCTTCGCTTTGAACGTCTCCCTTCTCTGTTTAACTTTTTTTTCATTTACTGCGTGCACTCTTCCCTTCCTCCCCAATTCTTTTCTTTCTATCTTGCCCCTCTTGCGCGCGCGCTCTCCCCCTCTCTGTCTTCATCTCTCATGCTCTCTCGCTCTGACTCCGCCTGTCTTAGTCTCTCTCCCTCTCCATCTCTCCCTTACGCTCTTCCCTCTTACTTCACCTAATCTCCAATATTTTCTTTTCACACATACCCCCTCTTTCCTTCTCTATATCATAGTCACTATAGCTACCCCGCATTATCGCTCTCTTATCTGTAGACGGGCGTGCGCACCAATTTGAGTAATGAGCCAAAGTTTCCTATTTGTGACTAATTTTCCGCGCTGAAAATTTTTTATGAATAATTTTTCACATGCGGTTAACCTAACCCTCGCGTTTACGCACGCCTACGTTGTGTCAAAATATAAGTGGTTATCAGACAACAACGTCAACCGCGAGCCTTCTAGTAAAATTAATTTAAAAAAGATTTGAGCACGAAAATCCTATTAGATTTCAACATGCCGTCGTGTATTCAACTGGATGGCTCGTACAGTGTTAAGTGCATGGTGAACATGGACACGATTTATAAAGAAAAAGTCGCAAAATCCATGCCAGACGTGATATTACATTTAGTAGCGACCCTATACGTATCCAAAATTGCTAGTGAATACTGTTTGACAGCAAATAAATCAATGCACCGATTTGAAATTAATATAATTAATAAATAAATTATCTCTCCTTGCGTATAACATAAAGTTGTGCTTAATGTAGCTTATAGTATATAGAATCTCTACGTTGCTGTATTTATGAATAATTCGATATAGGATACGTTATATGATATAGAATCTCTACGTTGGTATATTTACGAAGAATTCGATATAGGATACGTTATATGATATAGAATCTCTACGTTGGTATATTTACGAAGAATTCGATATAGGATACGTTATATGATATACAATCTCTACGTTGCTATAGTTACAAAGAATTCGATATAAGATACGTTAAAGGATATATAATCTCTACGTTTCTATAGAAACTATAGAAGAATTCTAAGGCGCCCTAAATGCTGTCACGATATATACTGTCCCCATGCGACTCGCGGCTGAGCTATGCGTGTGCCTCGCGCGCCACTGTTGATGTGACTAATATGTGGTTATTACGTGAGTAATCGGGGTCACATACATGACTACTGGGACATTAATGTTATGCCAGCGGTAAAGGAGCATTAGCGTTAAGTATAGACGTCATGTCGATGTTATAGTGCCCAGCTAAATGTCAACGATCTGCGTAACTCGGGTCAGCTACTCGCATTTCATCGATCATACATACATGCGCGTACACTCATAAACGCACGCATGTCTGCGCGCACACGTACGCACGCACGCACAGATAAACACACAAACACATGCACGGACACACGCGCTCACGCACGCAAACAAACACGTACACAGCCACACACATGCACGCACAGGCACGCACCCACGAAATGTGTTGTATACAATCAGGAGACAATGAATACAACAGATTTGTGAGGTAACTGCAATTATAGCGCAAATTATTAATATAATGGCTTAATATTCTTCTTTTTTTTCCTTCTTTGTCTTCTTCTTCTTCTTCTTCTTCCTTTTATTATTTTTTTTTTTTTTTTATAATAATAATAATATGATGATGATGATGATGATGATTATTATTATTATTATTATTATTATTATTATGCATTATCTCCACTCGCTGCGTGCAACCTCTGTCAACGACAGCAAATCTGCGATGAAGCTCGACAGCTCAGTTCGACAGCCGCTGCATGTTCTGACGTCACACCTGCCACCGCGACAGCTATATGCGTCTAATAACAGGCGCACGAGTAACATCGCGCAGATCTCATCATGTTACATTCCCTGACGTGTGCGTATAGCGATGGAATATTAAGTAGCCGTAGCCGCCAACGCTCGCTACGATATCACGGCTTGTGTCCACGCGTTCGCTCAGAGAGGAGTGATGAAGAGGGCTATTCGTAGGGCACCAAATTGCAAATATACGTGTTTCATGTGGCTTCCCCTCCCTTCATCCTCTCTTGCTCTTTTCGTCGTTGAACATATGTGACACGTTAATTGATCGCTACGTCGTGCCTACCTGCTCTAAACAATGACAACAAATAATGAAACGTCGATCCCCTAGATTGCTGCGCTGATCAACTGAGACTATAATGAAAGCGATCAACAGCTAGTTTGTTGATGAATCCAGCGTGTTTTCCAGTCATAAGGAAGGATTGCAAGCTAGTAGGCGCCCCTATAGTAGGGGATGTTACATATATAATATTTAGGGCCGCCAGGATGCTGCTAGCTATCATGAAGGAGTAATCTAGTATAGTGTCTGACTAGGGGAGGAAGAAGATGTTATAGAGCGAACATACCACGCGTCTTCATTGTGACCATGCTGAAACAACTATTGTTGTTTTGTGTACTTGTGTATTTGTGTAAAACCCCGACTGTAACACATGAATCTAACACACGCTACGAATTATGTTTTTAAAACACAAATATTTATTGTCATAATCGTGATGAATGAGATATAAGGCACATATATACATGTAGAAAGTGCACATAGTAAGATTCACCCGTGTGGGCAAGAGATATTTTCATGTCTATAATCATATACGGTTTATAATTACAATAATTAATTACAATGCCAGACACTTAAAACAGTGAAACAGTTTTTCTAGAAAGAAACCCAACTAAAAATGTCGAGACCTTAATTAAGTATCTGTTGCTATCTAAAAACAACATTTGTGATTATGTAATTACACTCTAAAATATATTACAAGTAGTAGAATGTCTTCGACTAAGAAGTACATAGTCTCGCCTACAAACGAAGTGACATTATTTCTGTGTTTGTCGCCAATCGACTTTCGACAGGCAAACACACACAAATATACTTCCCCCCGTGCTATCTGCTGCTTTGGAATAATAACCTGCCAGGTCGGGGTTTGACGGTTGCTTAGTATAATTGATTACAAAGTCATTTACAAATAAGCGCATACCCGTTACTATTGCATACAATATGTATACGTTGACGCGTACCAACCTGCGTAATAGTGTCACGCTCCGCTAACGTAGGTATGCATATATATATATATATATAAGTAAGGTGAGCACTAGACTTTGCTTAATATATATATATATATACAATGATATTTAACTTTTTATAATATATATATGAATATATATATTATACATAATATATTAGGCAAAGGCCTATGTGCTCAACTTACTTGTATCATTTCCCATCGCCTCGCGAGTGCTTGTGATGAGAAAGATATACAAACTACTATAAGATTAGGACATTATACATTATAAAGGGTTATAATGCTTGCGCTGGCCTTGGTCCACTCACGAATAAATGACGTGCGCACAGGGCGAGGCGTGGCCCTTCATTAGGCAATTTGTACAGTTGGCGCATGCCACTCTATTTAAACAAGATCTGCAGTAATACTATGATAATGTCATTATGTCCTATTAGAATAAGCGCCAAACCACGACAGTCGTGATTTAACACGTCGACGATGTTAGATTAACTTCACATTTACGAATGCTATATTCACACAAATGCCGCCAAATATATGCCTCTCATTGTCATCACATTGGCTTCTCAGAAAACATTAACAGGTTAAACAATACAATATTAACGCCTATATATATATATATACTATATATATATATATATATATATATATATTATATATATATATAGCTGAGCCCATATCACATAACATAGCATGGCGTTACGCATGCGCATGACTTGCCTTTCTGCTGCAGACGCTGCTGAAATCGTTGTTAGTGACATATTTCTCTTAAGTTACAATGCTTCGCCTGTTTCTGTCATTTAACAAACGAGGCGTGGTTTATAAAAATCTACAGTTTGCTCACTCTCCTTCCGGATTCCTCATAACTCCCCGTGAATAAATGAAAGTTAGGCCATATTTGCCATTTAAAACACATTTTTAAAAAGACTCCATCTGTGCATGGTATTCTTTTTTCTACAATAATGAACTGGTGAGAACATATTGCCTAGACAATGAAATAAATCCAAATAAAAGAATACCTACTGTATAGGTAAGCCGGATTTATAACAAACACAGCGTTAGAATTATGCCTTGTGAAACTATTCGCATTTTCTGTGTTAAAAACGGCCGAACAAACATATAAATAGCAAATAACACGTAGCTATCTATTAATTAGTCTCTTCTATTTCGCCAGCGAATTCATTGTCGCGAAGAATATATAATATAGTAATATATATATATATACTTGCGCGTTCTCCTTCCCTCTCTCTCTCGCGTCTCTCTCCGCCCTCTCTCTCTCTCTGCTGTGCACGCATGCTGTACCATCTCCCAGTATCACCACATATCACGATCATGCGTTGTAGATTGATCGTAGCATCATTAAACACATGCTGCTGCTGCTGTAGCGCGTTACTGCTGCTGCCTGCTATTGCTGCTGATACTTACTACTTACCGCTACTGCTGCCTACTGGCCTACT